TGCAATCCAACATCCGGAAGGTCCCAGTTTGGGGAAAGTTGATAAAGAAGGCAAGGAACTCCAGCACCATCAACTGGTTAATTAAACAAACCAGCTACCAGAAAGGAACATCTGAGAAGTCCTTGTCCAGTTTTTCAAAAACGGGTTTTCACTAGCCCGTGTCTTGCATAGCCGCCTAGGGCAGATTGTAGCAAAGAATATACGTGAAGTTTATCCGGTGGAAAAACGGACCTTGCCTCTCTGTTGACACTGTTAACAAAAAAAGGTATATTAAAAAATCTAAATGCACATGCCTATCCAGAGGGTCAACTGCGCAGTTAAAATACCAATCGGAAAATGTTTGTTCCATAAACTAGAAAGATTATATCGAGTAGCTGAGTTTAGGCAAAATTTTCCTGGCGTTTGTTTGCATGTATATATGACCCTAGAAAAATAGACATATATGCATAAAGGAATATAAACAAATCATGTGTTGTGGGAATAAAGCCTCTCTGAAAAAAAAACTATATACTTTTGCTGATAGAAAACATAATTTTATTTAGTCATAAGACGATTTTATATATAATTTGTTCATACAGCTCTTGGCAAGGTTGATTTCATCTAAATACCCCGATTAACGCAATTCCTTCTTTCCGTAAAGCTCACCAAGCAGCCAGAATAAGGCGGTTTTCTTCCAAACTCTCCTCTCCTCTGTGAAGACAGATTAATAGACGGAAACTTAACACACTTGAAACCCGTCTCTTGTTTGCTGAACGAAATATTAATTAAAAAAAACACCTTAAAAGTAATAAGAAAAGTGAAAAGGGACAAGACAGGACATTTTCTTTCGTAAATTCTTACAGTACTGTCATCGCAGTAAATTTTGGGTTGCATTCAGACTAATTGTGCGGATTTTCCTGGGATTAAGATCCATTTAATGCAGTGGCATTTACGTATGAGTAAATTTTAGCGGAAATACAATTTCCGTTATTTGCACTTGAATTTCACCTAACCAAGGGTATTTAAATTGCAACTAATAATTTAAGGATTATAAAAAATAAGGATAATTTAATAAGAATTACGTTTAGTGAGATTTCAATATATCTGAGAGCAACTTTTTTAGAAAAGGAAAAAATAAATGGATTTGTTGCAATAAGACATTGAACAATATCTTATTAATTCTGAATTTTATAATCGCAGAATAATCTCAAATATCAAGGAAGGAAATCTCCTTTAGCTACAGAGATGGTGAACAGAGTTCTAATTCTTTTTCTTTTTCTCTCGGCGATAGTAGAACTAATTTTCGGGAATTTAGACCCGCCTGGAGGATTTATGGTTAGGGAAGATGCATTTTTCTCCTTCTTGACTTCCAAGAAGCACGCTCGCCTCCGCAACTATATTTATAAATGCAGCCTTGCTTTAGTAGCTGTTGGCTACTTTCTTTTTCAGTCTTGGGTTACCAACGGAGCCTTTCACACATAACTCATTTTGCTGCTGAGGCTGGTAAATAAAAGGTGATCTCGCCAAGCGGAGGAAAGAAAACAGCTGCCGAGACGCTGGCAAGAACCGCCTAAGGGGCGGAGAGTCGAAGAGGTGGGGTAACTGGAATCCCCTCGTAGCCAATCAGCGAGCCTTCGGCCTGACCACTCACCAATCGGCGGGCCCATTGGGCGGGTGCCCGCGTCCTGGGACCGATGATATAGGGAGAAACATCCACAGTCTAGAAACAGGGCAGGCGGTGTGGCTGCTGGACGAGTCTTTGCATCCTCGGCACCCTGAGCTCTTGCGTCTGCGGAGTTGGGGGGCTTCCGTGAGTCTCCTCGAGAGGAATCGCCCCGATCCTCGCCTCAGAAGTAGTTGGAGACGTGGCGAAGCTTTGGGCGAGCTGGACCGACTTCGTCTGTAGCGGTCTCTCGGCCCGCTCTCGGGAACAGGGTGGGACCGGGACCGAATGCCGTTATTGCGCGCCTCTGCAGCCCCCCGGACGCTTGGTTTTGGTGAGTGAGCTCTTGATAGGCCGGGGGCCGGGGAGCCAGAGGTGTGTGTGCCAAGCAGGAACGGGAAAGGAGGGCGCCTTTCTCGCAGAGAAGCTCCCTCGCCGGGGCTGCCTTGGATGGACACCTTGCTGGCAGTGACCTCAGCGGTCTCCTCTTCTTTTACCCTCCTCCCTGGCTCGCGCATCTTAAGTTATTGCCCGGGCAATAGAAGAAACCCGGAGTCCGCTAAAAGAGAATGCCTGTGAATTTTAATTGCTTTGAGACGCCATTGCCTTTAGGGCAAGCAGAGAAACATTGATGAAAAGATTGCCACTTGATTGCCGAGAGTCAAAGTTTAGCTTTACTAAAGGAGTAAGGCCGACTTAATGCACGGGCACTTATCTCAATTAAAGGTAGCGAGTTTGCAAACTTGGAAGAACATTACAGGCAGATAAGGATGCACAATGCTAAGCCATAAATTCAGCCAGCTTGATGTGTTGGATTACAACTCCTGTCAAGCTTGGTCCCAATGGCAAGGTACAATATAAAGGTTTTTCTAGTTACATGCGTGGAACTAGTGGAAAGTCCACATCCATGGAGCATCTCTGAGATCCCTTGTGCTGCACTCAGTGACCCAAGCAATCTCTTTTTATGCTGGAAAAGGTAGACAAAGTTTCCTCAGCAGTTACAGGCCCTTGAGGTAGGTAGGGGTGTGTGGGGGTGTGTGTGAGGTCAATTGGTCTTTAGACTGGAAAAATGGTCACAAAAATGCTTTCAGTGGTTGGAAGAAAATAATGAAAGTCATGCTCATGACATAAATTTCTGGCTAAAGTAGTTTTGCTCTGAGAAATGTATTGCGTATAATTCCACATTTATATGTAGCCTAAGAAATAAAGATAGATGGATTATATTTTTGGCTAAATTCATTCTCCTTTATAATTCATTGTTCTATGCTGATATACATGTATAGAATACAAATAAGGCTAGATGGCAAAGTAACTTCCCAGCCAACAAATCATGGACCTGTTGGCTAGACTCATTGATTTCCCAAAGCCATAATGTAGCTTGTTTGCATTTGGCTTAGTGTGTGGTGAGAACCCAACCAACAAAACAGAGTTAAACATGCCAGAGTTAGTGTGATGTATACTCATGCTCCTACTCAAATTTGTATGGTTTCATTTATTTCAACTGTACTTATATGCAGGGAAACCTTCAGCCATAAGCAGCAATGGGTTATACTTCCAGAAAATTGTACGTCTAGATAACTAAGACATGCCTAGGATTGGAGCTTTACTTAATATTTGCTGTATTTCTGAAGTGCATTTTTATGGAAGAGGGAATCTTCCTCTAGGTGTAGGGACTAAGAAAATTATATCCAAAGACGATTCTTACTATGAGAGATACAACGGAAACAAGGACAATGAATAAAACAAATTCCTAGCAAATTAGGAGTGTCTCTTTAAGTGCAATTTAAAAAAAATCTTTAAATCTCCTAATGCCAGCCTTATGGCCTAGTGCAAATTGCCAGATTCTGCATTTCCAGATGCAGATTACAAAAGAATATCCTGCAATCATGGCCTGTTTGGAAACCTAACAGATTGTGCAGCCCCCAAAAGGGCTGCTTGCATGTTTGGCTTAGGTATTTCCTAATCCGTGGCAATTTATAGTGTCATCCAACAAATGTGCTGAAAACAACTAACAAAGACCAACTTTATATTGGTTTCATGCTGATATAGATCTCTCTTGGAAGTTGTTAAAACTTGTTCTTGGATAGGCTTAGGAAACACATTGCTATATCGCTGGCCTGAATTCTCACATCCTGGTAAACATGTTTTATTTGTTTGGCTTTGCTTCTGGTTTAATGCCCTGTATGAAATCAACCACTGTGTTTAATTCAATAATCCATGATCAAGCAACTTTACATGGCCCAGAATACTCCTGCATAACATTAAGCCACAATAGGTACATTCATGTGTCATGCTAGAAGAAAAGCAAACACACACACTGTAGTGTTGCATGATGTGTGAAATAAGACCAATGCTGGCCTTTTTCACAAGGGGGAGACTGCAAGGGCCTAAACCCTCCTTAGCTTGTAGAGCAACATGAGTCTGGCCACAATCTTTCTGGTTAGTGGAGGGTGACTTACTGTTTCCACATAAGAGCTGCTCTGATCTTGTCATCCTAAAATTGTGCCTGATTGTTTCCTTCCCTCTAATTGATAGCAGTCTAGAACACACCTCGTTGACCCACATTCTGTTAAGCTTCTTTATTACTATAGAGATAAGAGAAAAAAAGGCAAAGGAGGTGGGCAGGTGTTGCATACCACACTAAGTGCTTAAGCCATAATGAGGTTTCTAGCATGCTTTGGGACCTCAGTCAGTTGTGATTTAGTCAGTTAACCCCATTTAATAAACAGTAACAGAATGACCTTTGAACCAGATTACTGTAGGAATAAGTGAGCATCTCTGAAAAATCCCTTGATATGCACACCCTCTTGTGATTTTTCCTGCCTTTGGTCTGGCCTCCCTGTTGAAGGCACACCAGACCTTGGGAGATAAGGGATGGGAGTGAGCGGGGCAGAAATGTGTGTTTTGGGAAGGCCTTACTAGCTACCTGCCAGCTTTAACCAAACCCGCTATCCTCTCAATGTATTGGACTACAACTCCCATCACTCTCATAGTTTGGGATGGTAGATGTTGCAAATACAAGACACCCCGAAGCGCCTGCCTTTCTATCTGGGGCAAGAACTTGTTTGAAAAGACGTGGTCATATTTTAATTTTAAGCTTCCGAGGAATTCAGGCCTTGGGCGCCATTGGGACGTAGTGGGACGGCCGGCGGCTGTGCGAAAGAATCGAAATCCCATCTTCGAGGTGTGCGTACGGCACAGGCGCGTGCTCGCAGGGCAGAAAGGCCAAGGAAGAGCCTCCCCGTCTCTCCCCCCCCCCCCCAAGCACTCTCTTCCTCCGGGTTATATCCCCGCGAACTGCCATGGGCTTACCCCCACCCCCCGCGTATGCTAATTCAGCAGTCAGCCTCACCGATTTCCACGCCCTGACCGATCTCGGCAAAGCAGCCTCGTCAGTCTCGCGGGCACCAAGGGTGTGGGCTGGGGAAAGCAGAGAGCCGGCTGGCCAGATCGCAGCTCTAATCCGAGGGCGACGCGGCTGCCCTTCTTTCCTCCCCTCTCTCGTGCAGGAAGCGAGCTGGAGGAGAAGGCGGGAGCCGCGCGGCGCGAGCCATGGCTGAGGGGCAGCAGGTTGTCTCCGCCACAGACGCCTGGGAAATCGACGTGGAGAGCCTGGAGGAACTGGACGAGCTGGAGCGGCCGCTGCCAGCGCAGCGCGCGCCCCGACTACAGGCTGGCGGAGACGACGAGGAGGAAGACGACGAGGACGACGAGGACGAGGAGTGCGAAGAGGACGAAGCCGACGCGGGGGCAGCGGGCGAGGTTCTCCGGCAGCCTGCGCTGCCGCAGCCGCAGCTTGTCTCGGCGGCGACGCCGGCGGGGGGGGGCGGCGGAGGGGGGGGGGAGGGGGGGATGTCCGGGGCCAGCCGGCGCTGCCGCAGCCGCAGCTTGTCTCGTCGGCGACGCCGGCGGGGGGGGGCGGCGGAGGGGGGGGGGAGGGGGGGATGTCCGGGGCCAGCCGGCGCTGCCGCAGCCGCAGCTTGTCTCGTCG